ACAAGTTTGATCGTCAATTATTCAAAATTAAATCGTAATTATAAATATAATAAAAATATATATAAACACATAAATGATTTTCTGGGAGTATTAATAGGTACATAATAATATTATRATTTATATTTTTAGGCGGTGTTACTTATATTTATACTTATTACTTATTATTTGTTATACAAATTCCGGATATTGCCTTGTACCTACGAGGTACTCAACACTGTTGAGGTACTCACTGGAGTARAGCAATTCATCAATAATGACAAAAAGGTTTTATAACAATAGATGCATGTATTAAAGAGTAATACGAGCAATACTGGGGAATTATACAATAACAAAATACAGGGGGACGGGGATCACCGACTGGACAGCATCCGGAAGTCGACTTGAGCTGACGGACTGTTGACTGGTGAGCGGCTTAATCACGGACGTTGAAATGGAACGGCAGCACTGTGACGTGGAGCGACGAGCGTGAAAACGGCGAACACGTGTACGTAACGTGTATTTGTGTGGAGCTACATGGACTTGCTGCCACCAGCGAGTATATTGAGCAACAAGCCACAGATTGAACGAAAACAATTAAAACCGTGGCACAGTGGAGCGCGAGCAAGATGGCTTTGTAGACCGTACGACGACGGATTATCAAAAGCACGTTTTAGAGCACAAGTAAATAAAATAGCCTTTGATCTGAGCCCGAGAAAACAAATAAAAAATAACGTTGAGTCGGAGCTAACGCACACGTGGATGAAGTTAATGTAAACAACAAAAAACAAATGAACGGGCGCTCGCACCCGCCTGCACCGAGAGCCGACGCCGTCAACAGACAACCAGTCTTTCCAACATTGCGGACGGTGAAGCGTTGCGTCCACGAACATGGTTGTCGCGGCGGATAACGACCGAGCACGATCACTAAACGGCGGCAGTTTGAATTCTAAAGGGATCGAACAACCAATATCGGAAAAAATAAAATTAGCCATTAAAATGGTAAAGAACCCGGAGAAGACAATAAAACAACAGAGTTACTAAGATARAGTAGGAAAGCCGTGTGGAAAAATTAGCACAAATTATCATAAAAACATGGAGGGATAAGAAATACCCGAATCCTGGAATATATAAATCCTATGCTTTAGATATAAATAAGGAGATATCCTAAATTGTAACAATTATMGAGATACATACTATATACATCACACAAAGATCTATCAAAAGCCCTCCTTAATAAATTCAAGCCATATGGAGATGAAATAGTTGGAGAATACCAGGGAGGCTTCAGAAACGGAAAATCGACGGTGGATCAAATACATCTATTATACTAGCTGTCCCGACACGGCRTTGCCCGCGTATTAGTTTGGTGTTTGGCATTTTCGTAGGCCGTATATAGTGTTATTACTTATTAGTTATTATGTAACTATGAGAAAATATTTTTATTTTTTTATTTGTAGTTTATTAGTGGTTTTGGAGATCATAGCGTATAGTAAACTATTGAGAATGCCAAATTAATATTCATATAATGTCACTAATAATAATTAATAACCCTCGGGATTAAGGATAGAACATATAAATGAAATACATTTTAAACTATTTTAAATTCTGAACAAAGTGATGAATGAATTGATTTTACAATGATGTGTGTGTTTTTTTTTATTGTAAGTGTGTGGGAATGTCGTATACTGGTATACGACTGAAAGATAAATGGGAGCACTGTGAAAGATGACAGTCCATAAAAATAACAAAACACCAAATATAAATTTTTTTGAATTCATTGTATTTTTTTATATCTTAACTAATATTTAAAATTACATCTCTATCATAAATTATATGAATTAAAAAAAWATATTGTCAGTCTCTTAGTGCGATGGAGTGTACGATTTTTTAGTAAATCCATCTTTAGCCAACACAAACAAACTGGATGGTTTACCCACGCGAGAACATGCCACGTATAATTGTCCGTGTGAAAAACACGGTGTGCCCAGATCTTAGCCACAAACAGTCATCAATTGGCCTTAAGAGTTATTGATTGTCATTGCGAATGCCAATCTGATTGGAAATTGAACCCGTTTGAATTCAATTGGGACATCTGTAGTGATAATAGGGATTCGTGGTAGTAATACATCTTCTCCGCGMAACTTGCCATTCAAAATGCTGGCTTCGATAACGTTTTTYATCAATTTTTTAATAACTAATCGCGTGCCCTTGCACAGCCTTGGTGGGTTCAAATAACGTAGCAAAATAATAGGAGATCCAACCTTCAGTTGTAAATGGTGTGGTGGCATGCCTGGCAAATCCAATGAGTTCAAAAACTCTGCCGGATAATTTACAATTTCATTGATATCGCAAACTGTATCGATAGATTTGTATAAAACCAAGTTCCAGTTCAATACTGCTTCAGAAAGCATACAGTCCCACTGGTTGTCGTCTTCCAGCAAGCCGAGGGCAAGGCATGTATCTTTATACGTTGGATACTGTTGTCCATTCACTTTACGTATATCTTGAAATGACAATGGGCCAGTTACATTAACCAACAACAGTCGCGAATAAAAACACTCAGTCTGTCTTGGATTGACTGTAAATACTCGCCCCAAAGTATTTGATTTGAATAAACCG